CCCATTTACTAGAAAGGTTCAAAATACCTCATTAGATGATGTCAAGTAAAGCAAACTGCTTCTACCTGAAAAATGCAATGTCTACTTACACTGAATTTTGGTTCAAAAGAAAATGTCTAAGTGTTCCTTAATCCCACAAATGGTTATATGGACAGATCTCATGAGATTGGCTTGTTTAATATACAATTATAGTAGAAACCTCCCTCTTAAATGATCTGATTGGTATGGGGAGCTGAGCATTTAAATTAGAAAATTATAAATACTGATACTCCAAATTTTTAATTTTGTCCAATACATATTATTGTGTTTCATTCACCAGTTTTTATGGCCTCTTCTTTCAATATAACTGTTAATTGTTGATTTTCTGGTACAATCAATACCCACAACGTATCATTGGTGAATTTCAATTTCTTTTAAATAAAATGAATACAGTACTTAAGGACAACAGAGACACAATCTGAATGCAAAATCCCTCCAGATTTTATAAATTTTCCCAATCTTTTATAGTTATATTATCCACGCCAGATTTGACAGTTTTTAACAGCGTACTTTCATCAACTTTTTCTTAAGCATTTAACTAAGTTTATAAAATAATCCTTCAAACTGATTATTTCATTGACCTATGAAATATCTAGTTAAATTACATAATTACAATAATAGGTCAACAGCATTAAGAGGTCTTGTGAGGGGTCCAACCTAACTTTCAACCCACTTATGAGAGCAGAAGTGTGTAGGAGTGTGTCAGAGAGTAACCTACTAACCGTGTTGACACATACGGGCTTAAAACCAGGATGTTTTACAAACAGAATGGAAAATATGAGATAATCCATGTAAGTTAAGTAGCAATTGATCAGAAGAGCTTCTACCATTAACAGCCTACGGATCTTTCACATACTATTTCACTGCCACTAGGGTCTATTTTTTTTTTTTTTTTTTTTTTTTTTTTTTTGTGACCGGTAAGGGGATCGCAATCCTTGGCATGGTGTCACCCACACCACACTCAGCCAGCGAGCGCACTGGCCATCCCTATGTAGGACCCGAAACCCCGGCCCCAGCGCTCCCAGCGCTGCACTCTCCCGAGTGAGCCACAGGGTCGGCCCTAACTTTTTCAATTTTTTTCAGCAGAGTTGATGGATGCTACTAATGTTATTCCCCTCTTAAAAACACTAATCCTTACAGGATTTCTAACAGTTCACTGGGTTTAACTATAATCATTCATTCACCTTCTCCTTCAACAAGTATGTATTGAGAAGCTACTAGCCAAAAGGTACAATGATAAAAAATAAAAATAAAAAAATAAAATAAACAATTGTAGTGGATACAGAGATAAATGGAATAAATCTCTTCCCCATTTAAATTTACTCATCCAAGCAAGGGTCCTGTTAGCATCTCAGAAAACTGACCTAGATTTTCCAGAGCAGGTAAAAAGAGTTAACACACCTGGATAGATAAAAAAAAAAAAAGAACTATTCTCAAAATCCATTTATGACTCTCACTATACAAGAGTTGGTCTTGGCATAAAGAAATTAAGGTCTTCCCGAAAACTAAAGAGGGAGATATGCCTAATTCTAGTCTATCTTCCAGATGAGAATACAGCATAGCACTTCCTTGTTTTGTTTTAGGTTTAATTACACAAACTCATCTTTTGACATTAGATACTTCGTGATTTATGATAGCTGTCCTAATTTAGAGAATGTAAATTAGCATAATCTCTTTTGAGTTAAGAGATTTTAAATGCTTTAAGTCATAACGTGCATTAATGCTCTTTCCCACACATTAAAAGTGTGGCAGTTTCACAATAATTTTGAAGTCTGGTAACTATATGATAAAACTAAATCTGATAATGAATACATTTAATATCTGTTTTTGTTCTTTAACCTTTCATAAATATATAAATATATTATGCTTGTAAAATAGGTTAAATCCCATAATTGCCTCTTAAAAAACAAACACAAAAAAAAAAACCCTGCTGTAAAACAGGCATAAGCCAATAAAAATAAAACCATAAGAAACTTATCTAATAAAAATTTTATGTTATTTTCTTGCATGGGCTTTCTAGCAAGCATTATTATTGTTGTTGTCATTATTAATAGCTGAGGAATTGCCTACCCCTCCCACATTCACTAATTTTACCTTTCTTCAAATTAGCTTATCAATATTTAGATTCCCCTAGGTTCTGATCATATAAAGATCTTAAAAGATAGGTATTATTTTATTTGATGCCCATGATTAAGAAATTAAGTTTCTTTTACAAGAAAAGCTAATTTACATCACAATTCAATTTCCTTTGTCTTTTTTTCCAATCTGGCTTAGAAAATAACTATTACAGAAATGAGGAGTTGGGAAAAAGAATTGTTTTGGTACAGAATTCAGAATAGGAAATTTACAACAATACTCATAATCCATTCCAGAAAAATGTAAGTATATAGAAAAAATAGACGCTGATGTGGATTTTTACAAAGAAAGACACAAATTAAAGAGTTATTAATTGATTCCAAAATGCAACCCTAGATAATCCTTTGAAATATTTCATTCTCCATAAACCTACAAATCAAAAATTTGATCTACAAAAAAAATTCAAGTACTTTATAAAATATTTATATCCATTAAAACAAAGCCAATGACCTAGAAACACCTTCCGAGATAATCTAGAAAAAAATCTTTCATTTTATCGATGAAGAAGCTGAATACTAGAGAATAATCTACTCAAGGTTACCAGTTTTGAAGACCTAACATCAGGATTTATACTAAATTCTAACCCAATCCAAAGTTCATGGTTTCACTATACTATGAGATGAGAGAAAGAAAATGCATTTTCCTTCAAATAAGAATATGTGGAGGCAGAGAGACAAGAAAGCAGAAAACCTTTCATCTTTTAAAAAGCATAATGATAGCTGAAAATATCCAGAAATGCAGTGTTCTTTCTACCATGTCACTCAGAGTAAGGTTTTCAAAATTACCTGGTTACATAGCAAAACTTAATTTCTAGTAATATTCAATTAAAATGTTTGTTTGTATAAAGTAAACAATATGAGTATAGTTAAAAGCTATCTATATTATTTTTATTGGTTTTTCCTGCATCTAATGTATTAATAAATATTTGGACAGTAGGAATCCTCACATACTTTTTAAAAATTTTCCTCCTGTGTCCACTCCCTTACCTGACAGATTTCTAGCAACTTCAACTATTTGAGTAATAAATAGGCAAAGGAGCAAAATAAGCTTCTGAGCTTAAATAAATATATTTTTACATTAAAAGGCTATAACCATACTCTTTCACTTGAGGAACAAATGCCCCACTATGGGAAGGACAATCCAAAATAAATTTAAATTTTACCACTTTATTTTAATTTTTAATATTTCTCCATTGACCTTTAAAATACATTTATAAAATGTGTAATACAGAATTTAAGAAAAAGATTTTTCCCCAAAATCCCACAGATCTGAACACCTCTTGCAGTCAAATCTAATGTATATCATGCAGCTTTTTTTAATTATTTTTTTCCTATTTGCACCTTTCAACAGGTTACTTTATAAACTGTTTTTCAGAAATTTGGAACTGGTATGCCTTTATCCTAAGATTAATCATGTAATAAGAACAAAAGAACACCTTTCTAAGCAATATAAAGTTAGTTTTTATATACTTTTGCCATTAGTTACAACCCAAATTTAACTGGCTAATTCTTTAATAGATCAAGTTAACAAAGAGACTTCAGATGCATAATGGAGCCAATGAGTACTGAAAACTAAGAGACCATCCATTGGGCAGAAGTTATTGTCTAAGAATCAAAGCTAGCTTTTGAGTTTGTAATCAATTTCAGCAAGCATAAGTTTGTTTTGTTTTTTAAACTTTAATTGCTACTCAAATTATAATGCTCAAATCTATCATTACAGAAAAGTCAAAACTGCTGTTTAATATGTGTGAACCTTTAACACAATTACACTGGCTTGATTTGATATCCAGCCATCAGAACTCCCTTATTGTGTTTGGACCTGATTTCATTCCCAAACTTCCCAGCTCCTGAAGCCTAAAAACAGCCCAGTTACTGCTGGAAAAGTCTAAGATTCCTTTTACCACTGAGATACAAAGTAAGGCATAGAAAGGAAGAATATGATGCACAGCATATTATAAGCCTGTTATAAATACACATTTTAGAACTTGAATGATGATCATAATGATGAACAGTCATGATAATGATGATGATGAAGACAATGGTAAAAGCTAATATTCACTGACAATTATTTAACCCTCATAACAACCCTAATTTTATGGCTGAGAAGTTAAGAAACTTTCCCATGATCACAGAGCCTGTAACTGGAAGAGCCAGGACTTGAAATCAGGTCTGACTCCAGAGCCCACACGCTTAATCACCATATTTTCATTGTCTGTCTTCTCTAACCCCCTTTTAATAAACATTTATTAAACACCTACTGTATTCCTGCTAGTCAGTGGAATTCCAAAATATGTAAATTAATTTAAGATGATTATTAAGGTACCAATCTAGAATATCTCAGCCCAAATTAAGAGTGAAAGTACACATTTTATTTTTAAAGATTTCAAAGGTCACTCATGGTTTCATTCAACCAACGTTTAAATGAGCATCTGCTATGTGAGAAGCACCATGCTAGATGCTGAACAGATAAGAAGATAAATAAGACATGGTCTTAACCTCAAGCCCCAAACAGAGTACATACGAATGTACTTCAAAAAAGCCACGGAAAAATAGAAAAAACAATACAAATCTTTCCATAAACTTTTTGAAGTACCCTCATAATTCAATATTGAAGACTTACAATTTTTAGCAAAAGCATTTCCTACAAATAATGCTATCAGCTATCATTTCACTTAAGAAAATTCCAGAAGCTATAGCTATTAAATCACTATTTAATTTCCATAAGGCAACATCTCTCCTACCACCAAAATGCTAATGTACCTCAATAATAATATATATATATAAAGTCAAAAGTGTGAAAGGTGAAGGAATTTGCCATTAGCTTACATTTTCTATGACAAATGTCCACTCTTTGTCTTCAAATTCCTCCGCATGAGGATCCTGTAACAAAAGCAAAATGTGAAACTGAAATACATGTCTTTAGTAAAATCAAATTACAATTATTTTGTCCACTCTTTGTCTTCAAATTCCTCCGCATGAGGATCCTGTAACAAAAGCAAAATGTGAAATTGAAATACATGTCTTTAGTAAAATCAAATTACAATTATTTTAAAAAAAAGCCTTGTTTTTAGCTTTTACCAACTTTTAAAAAGGGAGAGGCAGAATAGCCTACTCATGATAATTTCCATAATTTCCCTAAATTTAAACTATTTTATATCAAGAAATTCTCTAATTTACTTTCATTGATGCATATCTTTATCTTCCATCATTGCATCTGTGAATGACAAGATAAAAAGAAACCTGATCAGAGACAGATAAAACTAGTGAATAAACTATTAAGAAGCATTTTATTAAGATATTAAATACTCATGCAGAGCCTTGCCCTCATTTTTATATTTATAAGTATTTTAAACTAAAAGTACCATCTGAGGCAAGGTTTTCTTTGGTGCACAGGTTATATAAACATCTGGAATTTCAAAGCACTGCAGGGACTTCATAATCTAGACTAAATGGCTAATCAGCATTGGCTGTTGATATCCTCCTCCTACTTCTCTCCCCCACTAACCCTGGAAATGACTCAGAAACCTCAGAAACCTCAAATACAACCAAATCCAACTTTTTTTTTTTTTAATGAGGCATGCTTTGCAAGTATTTATTTGACAAATATTTATTGGGTACTTATCATAAAGGGGATTGTAGAGGTGTCATATGGATTCAAACATAGTTGTCCTTGCCTTCAAAGACAAATGTAACAACTCTAAATAAGCATATGATAAATGAAGTAAATGGTTTTACCAGAGATTAGAAAATGATACATTAATTTTTACAGGAATGAACAGGAAAAGCTTCACAAGAGAGAAAACATCTGGGCTAGGTGGGATTGTATAGGATTTCCACAGACATTAGAATAAATAAAGGCAAAAGACAACAAAGTGTAAGAAATAGGAAAGTAGTGAAGTTACATTATATGTGCATTTAAAGTATTTATGTTCAACTGCATGTGTTAGAGGTGGGGTAGGGGTGGAAGTATCGACAGAATGAGAGAATACTCCAATAAAGCAGGCTTTGGCTAAATATTCCACTCTAAAATTGAGTGTACGCAGATAAGAGATGGGCTCCGATATTCCCCTCCTGAGTCTCAGGTCCCACATGCTCCTCAGGTCACACATTCTTCTTCATAAGAGGGAAGTATCTTATTCCACTTCAGTCTATTATTGATCTTTTGTTTCTATTACCACAGTTAAGTTTATGCCTAGGAATTTTCAAGATAAAAGTAACTGTAGCACCCTCTCAATTAGTCTCTCTGCCCTCCACTCAATCTTGTACACAGATTAATTTTCCTAAACAGTTCTGACCTTGTTAGTACCAACTCAGATTTCTTTAAGGCACCTACAACTGATGAGATAAATTCCAAACTCCTTATTTACTTCATTATTTTGTTTATTTATTTTTTACTATAATAGCATGGTGGCTGGCTGATTCTGAGCTGTGTTGCGGCAGCTATTTTTATAAGTAAATTCACACAGGTAAGATAAAAACCTGCCAAAAGAAGTTTCTTTGGTGGTGACAGGTGGAGGGGGGCAAGAGCAGGGTATAGGAAAGGGTAGAAGGGAAAAGGAAGTAGAAAACTCTACTTGATATTTGTTTCCCCAGCTGGCTGTGCCATGAACCAGGTTTACAGAGAGAAAAAGACTATTAATAAAGACTGAGGGAGCTTTTTCATGATGGACTTAAGGCACAAACAGTGCTACTTCAGGGACCAAGTAATAAAGTGTAATAAAACGCTGAAGAGACATATCCTACTATCCTCCCTGCCTGTCCCTCCCCCTTCATTTTGTTTTTTAAGGAATATAGCACAGCTGCAGCACAATTAGTATCAAAATAATAATACAAAAGGTTTACTGAGTACTTACCATGCCCCAATTACTATGGTGTTTCACTCACCACAGGAATTTATAAGATAGGTACTGTTTTTATTCCCATCTTAACAGAGCAGAAGACTGAAACCTAAAAGATGTTAACTTCACCCAGTACACAACTAATAAGTTTTAAAGCTATAGTTGCAGTTTCAGGTCTGTCTGACTTTTATCCACTTTGTTGGTTCAGTTTAACCACTGAGTCCCCAAGACCTAGAAAAGTACCTGGCACATAGTAGGTTCTCAAGAATAGTTGATGAATGAAGTAATGAATATATATTTCATAAGTTAAACAGTGCCTTATACATAATATGACATACATTAATTCTTAAAGCAGATGAAACTCTTTTTCTTGCTTTTTTCCCTTTTTTAAAAAAATTTGGTGGGTGGTCTTGACCTTGGATAAAACATATTTAAAAAACACGAATGATATATTGCCCCTAAAAGAATTTTTACTAACGAATAATTTCAGAGGGACCAAGAGACAAAAGTGACAGGTCAAAGTTAGTCAAAAGATGTAAAATAAGCAGAAATGATGCTCATTTTTAAGACACTTAAAAATGGCATCTGTACCTAATTAACTATATTATTCACCAGATAAAAACACTTATAATGAAAATTGCTTCTAGCTTGAATCAATTTCCTTCTCTATAATCTGCTCTCCCTCAACTGTCTCCTTTCTTACCATTGCACTAAAGAGAAAAATTGAAAGTGGCTTGAAGAGCCATTTTCCTTCTCAAAAACTGTAACAGGCTTTTTTTAAAAAATTACTAGAAATAGTTATTCTATTTCATGTTTTTAAGAGTTTAATTCAAATTTCAAAAACAGATACCCTACAAATATGTACAAGTAAATGTTAAAATAAAAATAAATAAAAATTAAAAACAAGCATGTAAGCTAAAGAAATTAATTTCTGGTTAAATCATAGAAAAATGAAACATATTGGTAACTTTCATAAAAAGCACTTCCTCTAGGAGCATACCTCTGTGTATACTACTCAAAGGACAAAAAGCATTCAGAGCAGCCCTTTCCTATTTACAAATTTCAAGATTAAGTGAATTGTTAGGTTTAATATAAGTAAAAGAAAGGAGAAAACATAAAGAAGTTTTCCACTTGAATATTTTAAACGCTATTCAAAAACAAGATCCAAAAATTACTATGAAAGAATGAAAAGTTTCACTTTGTTCTGTTTTACTTTTCTACTCTTCTATTAGAATTCGGGGGGGAGGGGGGGAGTCATGAAGATAAAAATATTAGTTGAAAATACTCCTAAATACTGAAAATGGTCAAAAGGTTGCCTCAACAGCACAACAGAGCAGAAATGATTAATATCACAAATGGGAAGAAAGGGTGTTTGGGTTTTTTTCTACATACTAATACTCAGAGTCATAAAAGTTTACTGATAAGGATAGGCTGAATATTCTCATCAGTACTTGAAAAACTAATTTTAACTTATCTCCTAATCCTCCAAGCAACACATTTCAATAGCCACTTTCAACTCAGAATCAGTCAGTGCATATCCTTTCTCCAAACACATGGCTCTGTTCAGCTACTAATTGGCTCTGTTCTAACCCGTCCTTCTCTATCACTGTTTTCTTTTTTTTTTTTTTTAAGTCCATTCACTTGCTTTACCAATATAAACAAAAAATTAAATCAAAGTATTCAAGAAATTACTTAAAAGTCTTCCTCAAGCATGTCAGAGATCTTACTACTATAATCAATATTCATAACAGTTTTTATTACAGAGTAGGTAGTACAATGTAGAAGAAAGAACGGGACTAAATCACAGTGTGTTGGGGCAAGTTATCTGCCTCTCCAGTGTCAGTTTCCTTATAAGTGAAACAGGAATAATTATAGAACCTCAGGGCTGCTGTGAGTATTAAATAAATTAATGCATGTAAAGATTCATCTGACTCCAAAGGTATTGCTCTTAACTACCAAGCTTAGTGGATTATTCCAGTAGGAGAAATATGGATAAGAGGGTTTTAATAACAGGCTTTTAAGACAGCTGGTTGAAGGGCAATAGGATGGCTCCGACCATCTTTAAGAAAAGGAAGAGTAACTACTGTCTCAGCCCTTATTTCTCCCTGAGCAAATCAAGTATGGTATACACATGACAAGTATAATCAAGTAATGTTATGATAACAGTAGTTATCAAAACTATAAAATATAATGTGTTTGGAATTGGAATCATTTACAAAATAGAGTATCTATTAAATAGCATTTAAAAATAGTATTCCATTTATTGGCTAGTATATTAACTTTATATTATTTTGTTTTGTGATTTCTGCAGTATTTCTTTTTTTTTTTTTTTCCTTTTTGTCTTTTTTTACTGACCGGCAACGGGATCGCAACCCTCAGTGTTGCGCCCGCACCGCGCTCAGCCAGTGAGCGGGAACTGGTCTCCACATGGGATCCGAACCCTCGGCGGGAGCGCCGCTGCGCTCCCAAGCGGCACACTCTCCAGTGCACCACCGGGCCAGCCCTCTGCAGTATTTCTTGAATAAATGAATTAATATATTGGATCACAAATTCAAAAGCACTTTTTTTACACAGTGATTTCACACTCTAAGGCACATCATTTTGCTCTACTTTGATTTTATGTCTCATAATATTTAGTGGATTTTCACAAACTTTATCTTACTCAATTATGCTTAATGAGATGCCCTGTTCTCTCCTGTCTTCTGTAAACGTAATTTTAACACAATTTGAATGATTCAAAGAAATAAAGCTTTTGTTTTCTAATTCTACCACCTTCCAAAAGGCTAAAACTGGGACATATTTCCCACCACCATTTTTTGCAGCAGGTAAGAGTTGGTTAGGAGAGTTATATTCTACCACTTAATTACCATATGTGTGAGGACTACTTTATAATGTTTCAAAAAATATGGAAGGTTTTCAAGAAAAAACAGATGAGTGTAAGAGGCAGGAAAGTATAGGAACAGCTATATTTTTGGATATGCACTTTGAATTTATAACCTCTATTTTGCTTGTAAGCTATAGCACTTACAAATATT